TTCCAGTTCACTGTGAAAGGAATGCTCAAGGTGTGGTGAGGAAGGCCTTTTTGGAATCATACTCATTTCATTGTTGGGGATTCCCATGACATCCCACCCAAGCAGCAATTTGTAAATCATGGCCCTTAAGGGAATTTTATATCCCCCCCCACAGATTTCTGTCTTGTCACCTAAATATAACTTTATAAGTTTAATTAGGTAATTCATATACATTCCTAATGTGTGTATTATTTTAAAATAAAATTACCATTTTTAAATACGTATCTTGAGTTAAAAATACCTTGATTTACTAAGTATCATATCCATTCTTTAAAGTATAAATAACCTAATGTTAACAGCTGAGGTTCTTTGTGTACGCCTGAATTTTTATTTTTGTGCCACATTTCTAAAGGAATTCTCAAGGTGTCTTGCAGAGCAGCAAGTTACCTTACCTCATAAGCACAGGTCCTGTAGGGGTAAAAGGTTGTGAAAACCAAAATACTATGCTCTGAATTGGTACACTGCTTTCCTTCCTCCAGAAATAATACTTAACAAACTGTATAACTAAATGCCAACATTTATCTGTATAATCTGTTAACTTTCACCTTTTTCCTTTCCATGCAGTTGACTTTTAAAAATTCTTTCATTTGTGTGACTCACATTTTGAATCCTGTTCTAAGCCAGAAATAGTGCTGTATTCTAAACATACATAAATATTCATACATTGTCTTTACAAATGAAATTTCACAGTGCTGTTAAGCTGACTAGGACTAGATTTCTTAGTCAAAGAGTGTATGACAAGGAACTGGAGAAGTTGCTTGTGAATTATACATAGTAGGTGTTTAATCCATTTCACTGACCAACTCCATAAACAATGGCAAGGTATGCACATGTAAGTGGGTGGCCGCAGCCACTCAAGTGCACAGTTCTGATTAAGGTCAAGGACAGGATTTTTTCAGGAAGTTGACTGGTTTTAATGTAGCCGAAATGTGTCTGTAAAGTGGGAGTGTCATAGTCGGGTGTCTCTGTACAGAAATTCGCAGGGAGAAGATTGTAGCATCACACGTTACACACGCAAGCACACACAGGCTACTGAGTTTCTGCTAAGCTGGAAAGCATTAGTGGTTAAACCATGTTTTTATTTTTCTGGTTACTGAACTCTAGGGCATTACTTAGATTTGAGTAAAAGCTAAGGCCTGAAAAGCAAAAGGTAAAAGAATTGTGTGCTCTGAATTGTCCTGGGAGAAACCTGTACCGGGGGATATACATGGGAAGTAAAAGCTGATTGTTTCCAACGGCAACAGTATTCTAAAATTTAGCAAACTGCACAAAATGTGTCACAATACAAATTACAGCATCATTGTTTTGAAAACTAGAGAGCAGTTTTAACAGCTGTCTTTAAGCCAGTTTAATTGTGGACCAGAGAGAAGCCGAGTTGCTGTAGGATGTTAGAAAATACACTCTAATGAGCTCCAGGCCCAGAGAAACCTTTGCACTGGGACACTTATCAGACAGGGATGGAGAAGGGGCCACTGTTTTCATGAAGGGCCAACTCCCCAGCACAGCAGTCTGTTGCTCACATGACTGCCTACAAAGGCCCCAAAGGTAGCAAATGACATTGACTACAAATGACAGAATTGTGAAATAATTGCCCTTCATTACTTTTGTATGAGCTTAGTTGGAGTCATTGCAAAGAAAACCTCATTTGTTGATAGAGTTAATTGTAATATTCATTTGTCACTATGCTGGTTTGCTTTACCTTGGAGAGAGATTATTGGAAGCCTTTGTAGGAAATGGTCTGCTTCTGAAATTTTAAGTCCTGAATTATTTGAAGAATTCCATCTATTACTGTTCTGTGTGTGTGCACATGCTCGTCATTCTGCAATATGGAACCTGGGGATCAAACTTAAGTTGTCAGGCTTAGCAAGTGCCTTTACCTACTGAGCCATCCTTTCTGGCCCAAGAATTCCATTTATTGATTGCCTGCTCTCACACCAAGCACTTTAAGTATTATTGTTGGTTTTATAGAAACTGAATAAGATTGTCAGTTACAGATGAGAAAACACATTTAAAGGGGTGAAGTTCCAGCATTAGAAGTGGCACAGGCTCAGAATGTGCTGGGCATTCATGTATATGCTGCCACTGTATACTGCCTATCAATGACATGCTCCTTGGGGGGGGGGGTATACCCATACATGGATATAGACATCTGTGTGTATTAAAACATGTTTTTATGACATGTTTTACATGCTTTGTTCTTTTGTACAGCCTGGGCTTACTCAGTCTCTTCCCCACCCAGATTCTTGAACATCTTGTTGCTACACATTGCTTAATTATATTGAACATGGTTTTAGAAACTGAAGCTTTTAGCAGTATTCTAAAATATGTTTATTCTAAAGAACAGAATTTTCTGATACTAGTTTTTTTTTTTTGTTTTGTTTTGTTTTTTAAATCTTAACTTCCATGCAAAATACAAAAGGGAAAAAAAAAGCATGGGAGTACGTGTGTGCTCTTAGCATTCAGAAAGGTGAGGCAACAAGATGAAGTCAGTGCCAGCATGGGCTACATACTGAGAACAGAAGAAGGAAAAAAAAAAGACTTAAAGGACTGATAAAATGAGAATATCGTTGATAGATATAAAAGATGGGGGGGGGGGACCTGTTAACTCTGGCAGTCGGTTCTGTTTTGTGAGTCTCCGTAGTTCTATCCAAAATCAGAAAGTAGAGCTGTAACTGTATTCATACATTTGAGGTTTTTAGCCACGTGTCCTCTTTAGCACATAGATGATATAGATGAAGTCACTAGGCTCTCTAGTTTGTATGTTCTGTGTGGGAATGCAGGTGTTGATGTCATTTTTTTCTTCGTGCTTATTCTCTGCACTTCAAAGTTGTACTGTTGCTGCTAGTACACAGCAAACATTTAAAAATTTTACCTATTATCTGTTGTCTCCTGTGGAAGCCACTGTGAGCCACATATTCTTGCAAATAAGATTTTTATTTTTTTTTTGTAGATAGCTGAGATACACAAATACATTTAATAATTTTTTATATTAATCACAGGTTATTTTACATTTAATAACTATAAAATGGGAGGGAGATAAACCTGCTGATTAAAATGTAATCAATTAATTACCGGTCTTTTTTTTTCCAGAAATAAAATGTGTGTGACATAACTCATCACTAAAGTTTGGTAGCACAAAGCACCTGTAACAGGGCGCCATTACTCTAGTGTTGTGGCTTTCCTAAGTTAGATATGTCACTAATCTGTCCGGCCAGCAGAAGTCGGTGTGCAGGCTTCTGTTAGGCTTCAAAAGCTTGTCCTCTCGCAGTCAGCTGAATTAGTAGCCCTGCTATCAGTGTTTCCACTTCCATTGCAGTGACGAGGAGCGGTACAGATACAGGGAGTATGCAGAAAGAGGCTACGAGCGCCATAGAGCAAGTCGGGAAAAAGAAGAGCGGCACAGAGAGCGGCGGCACAGGGAGAAAGAAGAGACCAGACACAAGTCCTCTCGCAGGTTTGTTCTTTAATAGTGTCCAGTGGGGGGGGGGGGGGGGGGGGTGAACATGGCACACATGACACAGACTTTCAAGTTGCCAACCACTAGACTTAACTGAAAGACCAAGAACAATCTGTCGTAGCTCCTTCCTATGAGCGCCAGCAATTTTTAAATTAACAGTTTGCATTTCTTTTACTATCTCCAAGACAAAATTAGCATGGAATTAAACATAAGGTACCTTGGTGGTTTTTGTTTGTTTTACATTATCTCTTTGATAGAAATTAGGGCATATGAGCCAGTCTTAATAATAAAATATTAAAGTGCTGTTTGGTTTAAAGACAAAATTGAAGGCCTGCAGTTTTAAAACAAAAAAATTAGAATCAATTTTGGTGCCCACTGTAACTGAAAATTCACCCTATAAAATAGTATTTTCTATTCCAAGTTATGCTTCAGTTTCTTATTATTAGTAAATCTTTCAGAACAAAGTAATGGGTTCTGGGATGGTATGGGTGAAGATAACCCTATGACGTATTCTATGTATAAAATCTCACACAAAATAGTTCTGCAAAATGTGTTCATTCAGAAAACAAATGGGTTTATCCTCCATCCAGGCTTACATTGATTATTTAGACCAGATTGTTTTTGTCACCATCTATTACTGAAGCATTTAAACACAATCCTTTTCCTGCAGTAACAGTAGACGTCGTCATGAAAGTGAAGAAGGGGACAGTCACAGGAGACACAAGCATAAAAAATCTAAAAGAAGCAAAGAAGGAAAAGAGGCTGGCAGTGAGCCCGTCCCTGAACAGGAGAGCACTGAAGCCGCGCCTGCTGAGTAGGCTCAGCCTCTTATGTGTGCTAGTCCCAGGAATAGATGCTAAAAATCTTATTTTTCTGGATAATGTTTAAGACACATACCTTTAATCTTGTTCTGTTAGAATGAAACGTTAACTTTTTCGTTTCCAAAATAAAAGTATGCATTTTTTTTGTGTTAAATTAAGAATCTTTGTCTTGTAATATTTAAAGAATGAAAAAAGAAATGACTCTATATCCAAAAAGGTAATGTGAATGAGTCAGCAGGGGATTTAGAGCAAGGCTGGCTGTGTGTACACAGCGTGGTGAAGGTCAAGGGCTCACCCTGGCTCACTTTCTAGGTAGTGGGGTACTGTCACAGAAGAGGTGCTGCAGAAGACCCCTCCTGAAGCGAAGCCAGGCTTCATCTTACTGCTGTGACACTCCTGCGTGTTCACGAACTTGGACACATCCTGATGTCACGGTTTTGCTAGCAGTTTTTCAGTGTTCTGGATTTGAGTCCTTGGGAACTGAATGGACTGTTTCTATATCTAAAATAAAAAATGGTATGAGGCATTTGGGTGGCCCCTGTGGCATGTCTTACATGCTTCCCAGCAGTCGTGAGTATAGACACACTTAACTGGCACGGCGTTGGACCACTTCATGGTCATCTGCTTGAGCAAGGATCATGGTGGGTTTTGGCTGCTGTTAACATGTTTTCCAAGGCTCAATGGCAGAATAGAATGTGGGTCTTTTTTTTGGGGGGGGGGGGGCAACACTGTTTCCGTATTAAGAGAAAAAATAAACTCAGTGACAGTACTATATTAGATCAGTTGTTTCTTATTAAAACCAAGCTTTAAATCCAAACTGATCCCGGGAGGGATTGCAGAGAGTGGGGCAGGGAACTGGTGTGTGCAAGGATGAGAGCCACAAGTAAGTGGACAGCTGTCACTTAGAAATACTTATTTCTCCTTTAAATCCTCTGCCATTAAATTTAAGTGCCCACAATGTGCCCCTTCTTGAACTCCACTTACACCGCATTTTCAACTGATTTAAATTAAGTGTGGCATACAAACCATTTTAGTTTTTATGGGCCTTTTATTGAATAAAAAAATATAAACTTAAAGATCTGGAGTGATGAGAAATCCTCCACACCAAATAAAAACTATCATGAGTTTTTATTTTTGAGAACGTTCTCTGAGGTGCAACTTGCTTTCATAATGTCATACTTTTTCTGGCATTTTTTACAATATATTCTTTAAATAGAAAAATTGACAAGATAAATACAGTTTTACTTAGCCTATCTGTGATTTTTCTAAGATCCAGCGTTGATTTTATAAAAAAGTACCAGGCCAAGAAGCAACAGTGAGAGTAATTCTCCCTTTCAGTTCTTTGAGCATCCTTGCCAAGCAAGCATGTGCCATGCCCGACGTGCTTCTACCGTTGACAGCCAGAAGAATGTCACCACACCTAAAGTAAATAAAACCACAGGGTTGTGATCAGAGTCACGTCATAGCTGAAGTTACTCAAAGTGGATCTGGGTGGTCCTAGTGTTTGCTGTAGTTGTCCATTTTAATTCTAATTAGATTTTCCCCTCTTCACTTAAATTCTCCAAGCTCCAGGCAGCTTGTGTTAGAAGGTATATTAAGTAGTATAGGAGATTGCAATATGGGACCATGGTCGGTTATAATTTTGAGTTTGTTACTACCTAACTAGTTCACTCATGTTTTAATTTCTCACTCTTCAAGAAAGTATAATATATGCTTTCTTTCAGGGGTGGGGGGCAAGTTTTTACATGTATAAAACAAAATACTTGAATATTTTTGCTAAGTAATTATTACCTAATTCTTCCATCGTTGTATGCTGGTGTTCCTTCGACAATGGATTTGATAAAAAAAGGTTTGTTACCACTGTATTCTTCATAGCCTCCTACAATGTAGAAGCCCAGACTTCCAGCTGTGTTCCTCCGTAATATCACATCTTTACAGTTGTATAAGTACCTGAAACAGAATATAATTAGTGTATGTACAGCTGAATTCCTAGTTGTCACTTCATCACTTTTTTTTTTGGGGGGGGGGCACTTAAAAAGTGAAAAGTACTGTGTGTATGTCTCCCTCAGAAATAAATGATAGAATCTTTTATGCTCGTAGCCAGTGTTTGTATTTGGTCTCGCTTTGCTATAGTTAAGTATATTTTCACCAAAAGGACTTAGTATTATGTTTTGTTTGTATCTCTACTGAGAAAGATGGTCATGGCTTTGGCTAAGGACACAGTAATGCATGAGCCAAAAGTTGGATATGCCTTAATACTAGTAATGATAAGCCACAGTGGAAGGTACTGAGGGAATATAATTTTTATATGCTTGTGGGTTTACATAATTCCTAAAGACAAACATCCTCTGAATTAGTGATTAGTCACAAGGAAAATAACGTATGCTAACGGGCTTCCTTAACTTGTAGAATTTCTATTGGCCCCTAGAAAATACAGGTTTATACTCACATAAACTTGCAGGAAACTGTAGACATAAAACAAATGGAAACTGGGACAAAAATAGTAGAACAGTTGTTGTAGGAAGAAAACCAACATGGCATAAACTGAAGCAGAAAGTACAAAGGGAATGGAAGAAGGACAGACCACAGCTGGCCTGATAATCAGTAGAGTCTTCAACTGGGATAGTCTTGGCTGTTAGAGCAGAGTTAGAGCTAAGTGTAAACTGCCTCATCACAATAAGGAAGTGTTGGGAGCTGGAGTTTGCTCTAGGGTCCCTTGTCTACCATGTGTGTCTATGGTCTAGGAATTGCTTTAACTGGAAGATAGCATTCTTATGTTGGTAGAATTGAAGATGTTTTGTTTATAGACTGTACTTTAAAATAATCACTTGCTTTTTGATAATCAATAAAAATGATCTTGTGAAATGTTAAGGAATGAAGCTTGGTCATTACAGTAGTTGCTGGCCCTTCTCATCATTTAATGTCTCTGATGGCTATCCTTGGTTGCAACTTCACTACTTCTGGAATTAACTAAAACTCAAGTGGCTGGGTTCACCAGAGAAAGGATTTTCTCTTAATTAAGTCATTTGCAGTGGAAAGACCGACTTTTAATCCAGATATCTTGAGGTTGAAAGATCTACCTTTAATCTGGGCACACCTGATGGCAGGCTATATAAAGAGCTTGAAGATTGAAGCTTGCTCTCTTTGCCCTTGCACTCCTTGGTAAGTCCATTCCTTCACTGGCTTTGGGGACCACTTCTTGGGAATTCCAGTGTATACAGAAGACATCTAGCCTCATGGACTGAGCAACTACTAGATTCTTGGACCTTCTGTTGGTAGACAGCCAGTAAACCATTCTAATAAGTCTCAATAATTGTTATATGTATTTCATCCTATCAGGTCTGTGCCTCTAGTGAACCCTGATTAATACAAAAACCTTTTTCATGCTGTTGCTTTCATTTGAAATAAAACAGGCCCATTTTTGTTTTTTATACATTGTCATACACGTCATGTACAACCTTGTTTAATGAAAACTCATTTTTACTGTTAAGTACTTACCTTGTGGCCATAAACCTATCAGTAGTAGCACACGCCTCCTGTAGGAGCTGTGGTGTACTGGATACCACACTAAGTTCCGCTTTATTTGACTGTAGTTAAAGCATCACACATTCCCACCTTGGTGGCTATATGCCCGTTTGGGGGTTTTGTGGGTTTTTCTTTTTTTTAGGGGGGAGGTTGGTAGAAAAATAGTAATTAGGTGATTCCTATTCAGAGCTATGCTCAAAATTTCCAGTCATAACTCTTTTAAAACACATAAATAGGTATAGCAGTCTCTGAAACTAATGTTTCTTCTCATCCTTTGGACCACTGTTTTTGTTTTCTCATTATTTTTGTGGGCCTTATTTGAGCATCCAAATATTTGATGTTGACCAGCTATAAACACAAGGATCTAAAGTCATGAAATTAGTTAACCTAATATTAAATTGCAAGTGTGTCTTTTCCTAGACTCTTCATAGTGGAAAAGGCATCACCTTAGGTCATACATTTGACATCGGGTAATATCAGTGAATATGCAAAATCCTTGTATGCTGTAGCATCCATTCAAGAAGGTATCCATGTCCCTACCCTTTTATTATTTTCTTTATGTTGAGTATTTGCCTTTGTTGTAGTGGCAAAAACTCAGACTGGTGAGTTGGGACTGATGATTTTTTTTTTTTTTTTTTTTCCCTGCTCACATTACTTCATTCCCCACTGGGAAACCTGGCAGCTGTCTTTGATTAGTAACCTTTCAGACTGAGTGACTTTACCCTCTGGATGTAAATGTGAGCTTTTTTTCCTGCTCTGAGCTCATTCTCTCAATTTAGGCCTAATTGAGAAAAACTTAGTGTGGTGTAAGGAATGGCAAGGGCTTTAGTCATTTTTCCCAGTGAGACTGTGGTCAGGCTCACAAATTTAACTTCAGTGCTCAAATTGAGTATGAGAAGCCTTGAGCTGCTCAAGAAATGGTTTCAGCCTAGAGTAATGGCTCAGCAGTTAAGGGTCCTTGTTACTACTCTTCTAAAGGACCTGTGATCAGTTCCCAGTACCCACATGATGGCTGTATCTGTAACTACAGTTCTAGGGCATCCAGATACCTTCTTTTGGCCTCCCCAGGCACCAGGCATACATGTAGTACACATGCCTACATACAGGCAAAACACTTAACATATAAATTAAAACAAATAACAAAACATATAAATTAAATCTTAATTGTTTTTTTTTTTTTTAATTCCCTAATCTGTCTTTTATACCCATCTACTCAACATGGCTTTGAAACACTACCTGGGTTTAAGAACGGGGGACTATTAAGACAAGGGAGGCATTGACTCTCGAAAAACCAAAACAAAAGTTGACCATTAGGATGTAAACTGAGTCCACTGGACAAACTAGTTTCAACAATGTCTTCTGCTGGATAAGATACTTCCGAGGTGTGAGTGCACTAGAGATCATGAATTCGTTCATGTTCACCATACTTCGTATTGTTGCATTATCTTACCGATAGAGAATTTACTAAAATTGAATACTTTGGTCTTAATTTGACCTATGTCTTTTTTTTTTTAACAGTTTTTATCATTATTTTTATATTTTAATCACAAATCCAAAACACTAAGTCTGTGAATTAATGTATTTGTAGAAGAAAAACAAGAATGGCCAAGTTTGGGAGAACGAGAGGAGAGAAAATGATTTCCTGAGGACAGAAAATGATTGTGTAACTGGTTTCTGACCTACAACATGTTACCTTCGTTTTGTTAGCTCTGTCTATTTGAGTATTTTCACATTTTGCCCTAACTTACAACATTTCCACTAATTTAAAATCTGAGTAGAATGCAGCGCCTCTTCCTGTGACTGACTCCTGGGTCAGGTCAGTTTTTGCACCTACATTAGGGCTCCTGTGTAAAATGCTCTCCCTGCATGCATGCCTGCTACTGTGTGCTCCTCAGGTCATGAGCCAAGTATCTCTTTAGCTGATACTTAACCACCAAGGAAAGGAGCTCATCTAATACAGGTGCGATAAAAAAATTTTTTTTAATTAATTTTTTTTAATTAAAAAAAAATCTGCTCTAAGTAATCGTCTGCAGAACATTCACTGCTTGTTATTACTTTCATAGTTCATAATAGTAGATATTTTTAATGGGATATCTTGTCCTCTAGATTCTGAAATCAATAAAAGGTGCTTCCTAGTACATAAGAAGGGACTCATTATTTCATCAGTAAGTGTCTACTCAGCAGCAGTTCCAGACCTTATGAAATACTAGGCTTTTTTGGAAGGGTCTCCCCCATTGTTAGAGTAAATACTAAAAGGCATCATTTTACATATTAAATATAGGTAGGCCTGGGGGCAAATGTCCAATACAGTGTTAAAAGTAACTCTGTTCTTGTTATGACGTGGCGATTTGGGTTTTGACTAATGGGGTTTAATCACACAGGGAAGGTGATAGGGAAAATGACAAGAAATGGTAGCATAAGTGGCAGTGAAAGCTATCTATGCCATCCTGGTACAAGACTCTTGTTTGGTGAGCTTCTCCAGAACTTGCTTTATAGTAAAAAACAAAGACATAAGTTAACGAAGTTAAATACAAGCTTAGCATTCTCTTACTATGTCAAGAATGGTAGGCTCAGCTTGCAAGCTCCTCCTTGCAGTGTGAGCATGTCACCTGACTGCTCTGAGCCTTAGTTTCCTACAGAGTCAGAGTATGTGATTCTCACGTGATGGGGGAGTGCAGAGAGCATGGGAAACTCAGGAGAAACCCTGGCCCTTGCTCGGGGCTCATAAGCATTCATAGCTGCTAGTATGCTGCCTGGCTTAAATGTACCGAGACCTATCTCATGATGAACGTGTCAACAATTTAGCTAGGAAAAAAAAATGTTGATGCCTGTTTCCTTCCCTTTCGATTTTGATCATCCTGATTAAAATGTTAGGAGCTTCAGGAGAGGAAAGGGTTAAATCCTTAGGCAAGAAGAGAAGTGAGTTTAAGCATGAGAACATGCTTTGAAGAACTTCCAGATGTGGGAAGCGGGCCCTGAGAGCCAACAAAGTAAGATGTCATCGGTGTTCTCTGAGGCTGCTCCTGTTGAATGGCAGCTGGTAATCGGAAGAGCAGGCAGGATGGCTGGAGCTGCTACCGGGGTGCCCAGCATATGGTGCTATCTGGCAACACACTTTTAACTGGTTCCCAATCACCTGCTCTTGCCCCTTGCCATCGCCTAAATCTGAGACCCACTGGTTTCACGCGGGAAATGCCAGCATGGCATATGAAGGCTACCCTCTTCACTTACATTCCTGCCGTGTGTTGCGCTGCATAACGCCATGGTGTTCTTGAGTCTAGGCCTGCTGACATGTGCGTCTTCACTGGCCTTAGGTAACTGACAAGACTTTATTAGGGCAAATAACCTTTCTCACATTTTGTTGAGTGAAGGGCGAAATGTAAATTAGACATTTCTGCACATTGTGACCTTAATCAAGCAAGTCAGATACAATTAACGTTGCTAAGGTGTGGTTTGGAATCTCTTACTAGACAAATGGCCAGAGCAGTGTTGTGTCAGGAAGAGCAAAGCTAGGTCTCTTCAGGCCCTGAGCACTCAGGTTTAGAAGTTCGAGTAGGTCCCACCCCCACTTCATGGAAACTCACATCCTGAGATGAGGACAGGGACGGGACAGGACTGAGACCTGAAAAGTGCCAGGGTAATTGTATTTCAAGTTTCCATCTGGCAGAATGAAGATACGGTTCCCTTTGTGCTTTAAGTTTCACTATCAAATCAACTAGGAAACCTGGAAATGCAGACTTCATCTTCAGCAAAATTTAGAGGTAGCATGTGTGAGGGAGAGCCGCCTAAAGGTAAAGGGCATCAGAGAGGGAATTTGGCAGAGAGGACAGTCGAGCGGGAAAATCAGCAGAGCCACAATGAAGGCCTGCTCTAACCACACGAAAGTGGGCAGGCAGGCTTCTCCAGGTTCAGCTTGGCAGAGAAAGACATGCGCAAAGCTGTGAGAACCCAAGCAGATACCCATGAGGGAAAGAGGAGCTTGCGTCATATGGCAGGGCGTCCTGAGTGGCCTGCTAGGCTGACCTCAGTTGGTTTAGGAGAATGCACAAAGCCTATACCTAGAATATGGCTCTGACCCTTTTATTGGTCTTCAGTAGACAGCTGCTCAGGAAAAGAAAAATTATCCCACTCAAAAGAATTTTGAACCAACAGAGTTAATGCTACACAAGGAAGCAGGTGCGGAGAGGGGTCAGAAAAGAAATAAGAAAAATCATTCAGTAGGGGAATGTTACACAAATCGAATGCCCCTATAGAAGATGAAGTTGATAATCAATCACATCACTATGATTTGAAATTACCTACGCGGCAATGCAAACAAGGACTCAGTGCAGACGAGATTTCAAAGATGATGCCAGGCATGGTAACCCATGCCTACAGCCCCAGTACTTGGAAGGCAGAGCCAGGAGCACTGCTGCAAGTTTGAGGGCATCCTGGGCTGTATACCAAGGCTCTCCCTCAAAAAGAGTGGAGGGTAGAGAGAGGAAGGAAGGAGAAAAGCAAAGACAACACACAGAGAAAAGAGTGTACAGAACATGAACACAGAAGAAGCTGCTCAGACATGAAAGTGGCCACAAAGGAGCAGCTGTAAGACTGAACACTGAGGAGTGAGAGAGCCGAGGAAAACAAGCCAAGAAAACAAGTAAACAGAACCAAGACAGCTGAAGAAAACTGAAAGAGCCCATTATCAAGTGCACACATCTGGAGTCCCTGAAGAGCCGAGACAATAGGACAGTTTCTTTTGAACATGAGGTCAAAAGGCCAGGCCGCATGTGGAGAGAAGGGAATGAGATAGCTCTTGTCTTCCCACAGCTTCATTCCAACTATTACAGGCGCCATCCCTAAAGAACAAAACGTGACACGATCATGCGATATCCACCTCACCTGCCCTGGCTTCACTGACGTGCAGTTTCTTTAGCCCATCCCTGAAGGCAGTGGGCATTGATGCTGCACCGACTCTCATGATGCCCAAATCAATTCTTGGGTTTCTTTTTAATTTTCAAAATGTTTGGAACATAACAGCTGACAGGACATCATTGTGTTTGAGTTCCTAGATACCCAGGCTGGGGCAGGGAACTACAGCTGACCCCACAAGCTTTCTTTCATTCATGGATGGTCTATGGCTGCCTTTATACTATGACAGCGGAGTGAGGGGTTGCCAAGGCTGCACACCCTATAAGCCTAAGCTGGCCAGCATTTTGCAGAAACAGTCAACTTCTCATATAGATAGGCCTTCCCCAGAAAAATATTCCATGATGAGGGTAATGCTCGTTACCTCTGCTTAGTGAACTGAAGGTTCAGGAGAGGAGAGATGCTTCCTATGCCCTCTGCTCTGGTACCCTCTGACCTGCTCACCATGTCAAGAAATGCTGCAGGCGGGAAGGGTAGAAAAGGGCTCTGAGGTTCCGGAAGTCCCTGTCAGTTTGTGTTGACATCATGTCACACTTCCCTTCACTCTTGGAGGAAATGAGTGTGGTCTCGACAGCCCAGAAAGAGCAGAGAACGGTTGCCAATGCCAGTTGGCTCATGGGAGAAGAAAGGAGCCAAGGGCTTGATGCCTTCTTCCCCACACGAGGGAACAGTAGAGAGTATGGCAAAGTAGCTTTCAAACAAAAAGTATAAACAGACTTGGGGTTACAGTTCCAAAATTTCTTCTAAAATTTTTACTCAGTATAATAGTCTCCTATTTAGGCTCAGCTGTAAAGTGTTTAAAAGGCCTCAATGCTCAGTGTTCCACCTTCTAGGGACTTTGACAGATCCACTGATTTAAAAAGTAACGTGATCAACTAGTAGAAACCCCAAAGGGAATCTACACCCGTTTGTATTTGAGGCTACTAAATAAATAAAAGCTACCTACTTTCAAGAAAATGTTTTAAAGCCAAATAAGTGCCCTGCTTCCATTATTTCATCCTATTCTAATACATCATTGGTAACATCAGTTTTTAACATTTAAGCTACACGTTTGCAGGCAATAATCTAAAGGCCAGAAGATTTTGTTCTGGTCCACGGAAGCAAATATCAAATTTACCTGTCTTTTAAATAGTCAATTCATGTACATACGCCATTTTGTGGGAATCTCCCCAAAGTCATCAACTGAGGTAATTTTACAGTTCATTGCAAGGCTCCAGGTATACCTTAGTAAACTGGCAGCCCAGCTGCTTCCTAGAGAGCTTTCCGGAAGAGTCACTGAAGAGAGATGTTCTGAACGGCATCCCAGCCAGCAGATGCTCGGCTCTCTGGAGCCCCAGCGTTCTGCTGTGTGGATAGTCAGAGCTTCTGGAAGCCTCAGAGTAGTGCCAAAGCTGGTATGCAGTGCCCACTCCTATCCGTGCGAAGATGAAATGGCCCAAGCTGGTGTAACTGAGCTCATGACTGTGGAAACGCAGGCTGAATTTGTCAAGTCAGCTGAGCCCCTGCTACACGAACCCCTGGTAACCGCAAATGCCTCGAGGTCAGCGCCTAGAAGTTTTTCCACCTGGACTTCCACCTCCATCCTAAGATGTCTAGATGGTTTTTCATTTGCCAACAGAAGACAGAATCATTTCAAGCAGCCCCGTAAACAAGACTGGGTCCTAGCAAGATGCTGTGCCCAGGAATCAGCCCCAGACAGTGAAAGAGTGGTTTAAGAAATAGACTCCATAGGGGTGTAAAAACTGGGACTCACTGTGGTAATTCCAGCCACATGATCCAGGATGGGGACCAGTCACCAGGTGGGCTCACGTTGTGATTGGAGTCCAGGGCTGCTGGGCTGCAATCTTCCTGTGGCTCCTGTTCCCTGACTTCCAAGGCTTTGAGGACCACTGAGGACGATGTGCTCTTCAGTATGGCAACGGCCTCCATCCGGCTGACCTCCGTGAGCTCAATTCCATTCACACTCAATAAAACGTCTCCTGAGACCAGAGAAGCAGAAGCATCCTTGGTGAGTCAAGTGGGATTCTGCTCTGTGTGTGGAAGGACAGGGGCTGACTGGACATGTGGACAGGGTGAGGAGAGGTGTGTATCTCTAGCTTACAGTGACTTGAGGCTGGCTCTCATTTAGCAAATGGTAAATAGAGCCCATGGAAATGTCTTCTTGGGGGTCCCTAAAGATTACCTGTGGCTGTACACGAAACAGCTTCGTTGACTACTTAACCAAAGAACCCGAAATTTCACTCTTTCATGTTAATTTCGTATTTTCTTTAGCACACAGTGAGAGCAATTGACAAAAAGCTCCACTGCGCTCACAGAGCATCTTGTGTAGGACGCTACCAGCAAACAGGGACTGAAGTGAGAGTTAGTGTCTGGCACAGGAGACCAAGATAGACAAAGAACAGGCCTGGACCTGAGCTTTCTCGGAGGTGGAGTGCAGTCACCATTTCCAGTTACTGCCTCTCTGTGCTGTGCAGAATGAGCGTTAGCTAAGCACCTAAGCAGTTACAGAACTGCTCCTAGATGTCACAGGCTACAAGAGCTCTCATTAAGTCACTTCCTGTCAGACCTGATCATTCTCAAGCCCTGAGCAAGAGAAATTTAAAATGTACCTTTCTACCCTTGCTTTCTATTTCATTTATTTCTTGGCTTCTATTTGTTCCTTTTGCCTCTTATCCACCATCTTTTTTTTAAATGCAGAATAATTGTGGACAGGAAAAAAAGGACAAGGGATGGCTTCAAATGCTTGCTGACGTAAAAAAGCAGCAACTTTTGGCTGTCTGACTAAATCCTGTACCGTGCCACCCTAACCCCACACCACCCCTGCGGCCCATCAGGCAGACACTATACTCGAGAAACTTTTTTTTTTATCTTAAATCTTAGCCCTAACAACAATTGTGCTAATCATTTCTCTACCTAGGTGACTTCTTCATGGCTTGAACAGTGTTATTAGGAACACATCCTTGCAGAGGTCAACTGTAGAAGAGCTCAGAACAGGGGTGGCTAACGGTGAGAGCAATTGACAGAAAGCTCCAGAGCTCACCAGTGAGCAAAGAGTTTATACCGTCGTCAAATCAATGTTCGTCAGCTGGTTCATCCCATTTAGCCCACACAATGTGGCACGGTTCATAAGTCAGTTTCACTACTGGATCAAGCCGGCAAAGAACCAGTTAGAATGCGTGAAGCTAAATTATACTTTAGAAGCAACCTGCTCACGGGTGTAGCAGCTATCTCTCCAGCCTGGAAGGTCAAGGGGCTTTAGCTTTCCCAGCAAAGCTGCCTCACACCCACTCACATGCACTAAAAAGGGTAAGCCTTGACTACAGAGGCACTCGTGCTCATTCTAGTCGAAGGGACACAGCCATCATGGCCAGGACCCACTCTCACATGCTCTCCGAGACTGACGGAACAGCTAGTGAACTCAGCAAGCTGCTAACTCCTCCCTAGGCTCTGGCACCCCAACACCTTAATCCTCTTCATTTTGTACCTGTTTTTATTCTTCCATCTCTGCTTATGACTCCTCCGGGCTCAACACTGATGACATAGATGGGCAGGTCCCATTCCCTGTGTGATGCTCCCCCTCCAACAGTCATGCCGAGAGATTCGCTGGGGTCTTTTCGGACACTTACAACCTTCTCATGACAAGTGGCTGCAGGATGGAAGCGCTGAAGGCACAGACACAAAGAACATGGCGCATGCGCTCACAAGGCATTTCCACATACACACATTCCGCCATTTGCATCCAGAGGTGGCGGCGCTCGGTGCCACAGAGGACACAAGAGAACCATCCTGTAACAGAGTTGATGCATCGCAAACTCCAAAAGTTTACTTGGAATTTATGCTTCAGAACAGAATAGTGAACAGAGAGGAAACAGCCCGGAGACCACACAGAACTCCGGAGCTTACAAAGTGAACTGTATTCCAAATCTCTCCGGGGTGTGTGTGTGTGTGTGTGTGTGTGTGTGTGTGTGTGTGTGTGTGATCCATTTCGGACAGTGGTAGGCCAGCTTCTCAAAAAATTTATCATTCGTGAGTATCGGTTCATTTTTTTCCTTCAGTACACTTTCCATATTTAAAATCATATTTATTTATGGTGTGTGTGGAGGTTTGCGGTGGGTGGGGGGCCATGCTGTATCATACATGTGGAGGTCGGAGGACAACTTGCAGAAGTTGGCTCTCGGGCTCCGCCATGCGGGTCCCAGAGACCAAACACAATCTGTCAGGCTCGACAGCAGATGCCTTTACCCACTGACCATCTTGCAAGCCCAGCAAGCTCTTCTATGTTAAAAAAAAAAAAAAAAAAAAAGGAAAAAAGAAAAAAAATGGACCTGGGCAGATGGCTTGGTGGCTAAAGTACTTGCTGCACAAGTCTAAGGAGCAGTGTTCGAATCATGTAGCCCTCATATAAAAGCCAGGTGTATGAAAAACGGTGGCTCTGAGTTCAGAGTTCAGGGATCTACGGGAGATGGCTACCTGGACTCATCAAAGAGACAAGCCCTGCCTCGGTGAGAGACCCGGCTTCAGCCGATATGGCAGACGCCTGAGAAGACGCCAGATGCCATGCTCTGGCCCCCACATGCGCACGCTCCCACATGCGCATGCTCTCACAGATTTGTAGATGCACAGATGCACGAGCAAGCCATACACACGTGCAAAATCTCGCTCTATTTTATACATCGTGCCCATTTTCAGTACTTTCCAAACAGCTGGGTGAGCGGCTGAACACCAGTGCGGCGCGTGGCCTGTGTCTGTCCCTGATGGCTTTCTGCCTTCCCCACAAGAAGAAGAAAGAGGGAGAGAGACATGGATGGTAGTGATGGAGAAACCCAAGCCTCTGGGTAAATTCCTCGGGCCGAGTTGCCCAGCTTGGGTCAGGAGGAGGAAAGTATGACAGACATAAATCCTTTTTGTCTTTTTTTTTTTTTTTAATTTCTCCTCTCACCTTACTCTGGAAGCCTTGAAATCTTTAATGCTTAAAAGCCTGATTTGTGATGAAATAGTTCTTGCTGATTAAAAAACATGGGCAACTAAGAAACTGTATGGAATGTTGATTCTTTAGAATGTTTATCTATGGCTTAAAAAACATAGAGCATTTTAGACATCTAGAAAGCATCATAAGATCAGTACCCAGGGTACGGTTAGCGTGTCTGTGCCACTGCTCTGGTCGCATGCCCTGTCCCCTCTCACGGGTAGCCACTGGCCTACAGATGGTGCTTGGTGGTGCTTAACTCTTCAACTGGATAGAATCACTTCTGTTCCTCAAGTCCTAGCTTGCATTCCTTGGCATTTCCTGGGAGCATTTAAACTGCTATTTTCAAATGCCATGTTGTTTTCCTAAATCGGCTTAAAACCCAATCATCAAACAGCTTGGGTATCACTTTTGGGGTGTCAGGACATCTCAGAGGCAGGCTGAAGTGTGAGGGGAAAGAACTGCTTTCCCAGTAGACTTTACATTTCTGGGAATTCAGACATGTGAGGGAGGCAGCAAAGATCTGATTAGACCATCCTGGCTTTTCTGTGGCTCATGGTATGTAGGTAGAAGGAATTATAGAGACTCACTGTGCTATAGGCCTCATTTATAGTACTTTAGTGAATGAAAACATAACAAATTCGATTTAATTCAACTGAATTCATTAATTAGATACAAGCTTTAAGTTAAGTTTTTGTTTTTGTTTTTTTTTTTAATCTCACATATAGTTTGACATTAGTGAACACTGTCAGATAACTTTTAAACATGGTATTTATTAGGAAGAAGGACCCATGGAGTCCTTATCCATAAAATCCTTTACTGGGGTGGACTTTCTTGGCACAGGTTGCCTCCCACACATAAACATGGAACTTGAGGATTTGTGGAAAGGTGACTGCCTGGAGATTTAGAATAAAGGTGATCTCGGGCTCCCTGATTCTAAGGCAGAGAGGTTTTCTGCAAACATTGCTCAAAAACATCCTCAGCGTGTGGCCTAACGTGGAAGGAAAAAGACATTCATCCATTTCACTGTGTCTGTTTCAGGAGTAGGTGTCTGGTTGGTTTTTAAACATTGGTTTATTTATTTATTTTTTTTTATGTGTGTGGGTATTTAGTCTACGTATGTGCACCATGTGTGAGCGAGCAGCTGTACCCTCAGAGATTGAAGAGGGCATCAGATCCCCTGGAACTAGAGCTACAGAGAGCTGTGAGCTGCCTTGTAGGTGCTGGGAACTGGGGGAGGATGGGTCCTCTGTAAGGGCAACACGTGTTCTCAACTGCTGAGCCCTCTCTCTCCGGCCCTGCTCATTTTCAGTAGCAAATAACACGACGGCTATCGATCAGCTATTGGGGTAAGCGGCTGCTCGAAGCTGCTCATCATCTTGACAGAATGCTAGACCAAGGTCAGAGGACTCTCAATCTGGACTGGATGGTGTCTGCGCTGGTTAGACACACCCCTCTACAGGAAGCTCACTCACTACATCTATTAGCAGCCACGGACAGCTACAAACTGTGCTGGGTCGCCTCGCTTGGGGAGAGGCTGCAAAGGGAGGGAGGGGCTGAAAGGGAAGTACTCTACTCACAGAGGCATTTTTCTGGGTCCATGGTGGTATGCACTTTTCCTGGGGCCACTAAGATGGCCCAGGAAGTAAAGGAGCTTTGCCATCAAGCCGGATGACCTTAATTCAAGCCCTCGAGCCAATATGGTGGGAGGAGAGAACCAACTGCCACAAGCTGTCCTCTGACCTCTACACATGGACCATAGCACATGTATGTCTACACGCATACACACCGAAACACACAAAATAAATTCAGCATTTCATAGATTTTTTTAAAGTTTCTGGGTTTGACTGACATAAGACAAGACACGTGCTCCTGGTTTGTCTAAGGCTCCACCCCCACCAATGTTCCATGGGCTTCAAATGCTAGAAGTATCTCCCTCGTTGCATGTGAAAACACAAAAATATTAAACATAGCAGGAGAGCCAGGATGGTAGTGCGCACCTGTAATCCCAGCACTCGGGAGGCAGAGGCAGGTAGATCACTGTGAGTTCAAGGCCAGCCTGGTCTATGAAGTGAACCCAGGACTGCCAAGGCTACACAGAGAGAAACCCTGTCTCAAACAAACAAACAAACAAACAAACAGCAGGGGAATCACAATTTCCAGGCATGTTGGGCAACTCAAAAACCAGAAACCAAGCAATAAAGATAATCTCAGGCTCCCTGATCATAAAGCAGAGATGTTTTCTGCAAATGTTGCTCAAAAAAACTCAACTTGCAGCCTGATGTGGAAGGAAAAAGGCATTCATTCATTCCATTGTTGCCTTCCAAAGTGAATGGAAAACACCCGTTATGCAGAACGATTCTTAATTAAAAAACATGGCATGCAATTGGCTTACACTAGAAATCAGGTCCCCTTAGCAGGGCTGTAAGCTGGGATTTAACACTGCCCCAACACCTTCCTCATCACTCTCGCTCGGATCGGAGACACCTGTTACCTCCCAAGTATGAAGATGTGACTTTGGCCTTTAAGTTTCACGAGTAGTGTCTATTGAAACGACAAAGTCCAGAGATAGCCCTTAAGACATGTGTGAGTACACGGCCTTCCCAAGAAACAGCCCTGTGCAGGAGCTGCCAACACACCCAGCTCGGCCTCACCTTAAAAGCTGTGTTCCTCTCCCCTGGGCCTGGGGATGGCTGGCCATTGCTGATCCAGCCAGCTTCTTGAAAGATGTCTGGGCTGGGCTGTCGAACCTGGCGGGATACGACGAGGTGGACACGTCTTTCACTGGCCTGGACAAGAGGACATCAAGTTAGCCATGTGTACAGGCCTAGCTCCAGGGCCTTGTGAGGAAACCACTTTCATTTTGCCTCTTATTTAACAGAAGAATCAGGCGTCTGGCATCTCTTTCCTTATGTGGTGCTGGAGACTGAGCCCAGGGCCTCTGAGCATATATTGAGGTAAATTCTCCGCCATGAGGTCCACCCCAACCCCTCTGCATTTCTTCTTCTTCTTTTAATGTGGTCCAAGCTGGAAGGGCACATATTTTTCAAAGATTAATTTAATTTTTAATAATGTGTGTGCATTATATAAGGAGTGTGCATGTGAGTGCAGGTGTTCTCCAAGGACAGAAGAAGGGATTGGAGTTCCCTAAATCCGTGGCTGTGAGCCACGGGGTGTGGGTCCTGGGAACCGAACTCAGGTCCTCTGCAAGAGCAGCGTGCACACTTTACCAGTGAGCCATCTCTCCACCCCCACTCTAGATTTTTCGTGTCCGTGCCCAGCTTGTACTTTGGCAAAAGCATGAGTTATTTAACTTGAAACCAGGGACTGGACATTGCTTCAAGACAAAAACCTAAAAAAGGACTGACTCATGCAAGTCTTTGAAGAGACACCATTAGATATTCTTAATGTACTTTTAATGATGAGCTCGGCTGCAGACCAAAAGCCTTCCTTGGGCACCAACGTGCACAGTATGAAGCAATCTATATCAGAGTTCTAGACAAAAAGTCAGTAGTAAAGAAAGAAGCAAGGTCGGAGGCAGCAACTCCGACATTACGGAAATGGAAGTCCTGTGACTATAGCTGATTCTGATCCTTATGAACACTGGTACTTGGGCAGAAGATTCCGAAGGGCAAACGTATCGCTTATCGTGAAGACTCATTCCAAAGGATGAATTACTGATTAGCTTTCTGCCATGGATGAATTTCCTGTGCCTCTGACTGCGAGTGTCAGAACCCAGACATGCCAATCCTCTACGTTTCAGCTCTGGGGGGAAGATAAGGTCAGGCCATAGTCCCAAGGAACCCATCAAAACAGCGAGGTTGATCGCCTAACTAAAGTAGCTGGTGAATCCCCTCATCACCTCAGTGAATCTCTTCAGTGAGCAGTGGTGATGGAAGAGCTATGGACTGATCTAGTTAAAGAGGCATATGGGAAAAACCAGGTTCAGAGACCAGGAAGGTGAAAGAGTGAAGGTCTGATGGTTCCTCTTCTCATTACAACTCCTTGACCACTCACCTCAGCAGAAGTGCACACTGACGTGCCCGCCTCTTTCCTTCATGGGCGTGGTCGTGGCCCAGGGAGGAGTCAGATCACAAAGAGGCACCGGGCACTCCCTGCTTGTCTCCATTAGCTCAATGGGAGTTGAGATGTTTGCCTTTCATCGGCAGTGGCAGCAATGCATGTACCCTTCATGTGTGTGAATCCTAACCCCAAGGTGATGGTATTCCCAGGCGGGTCTTTGACTCAGTCCCCCTGAATGGGATCAGTTCCTGTACAACAGAGCTTGTTCCCTCCAGCTTGAGGAGGCAAGACGACGACACCACATATAAGATGGGGATAGAGATGGTTCTGCGGGCAAAGGACCTGCTGTACAAGCGTGAGGACCCGAATTCGGATCCCCAGAACCCATGTAACGATGGGAGACGAAGCAAGGGTCTGTAATTCACGTGTTCTAGGAGATGGACATCTGAGGCAGTAGGATCCCCGGAACCTAGCTGGCACTCGCAGTAACAAACAAGAAACTTTCAAACAGGGTCGAAGGTGAGGACCAACGACCACAGCATGTCCTCAGCCCTCCACACACCTCCTGTGGCGTGTTCCTACCCACACTCATATGAATGCGCGCACACACACACGCAGGCACACTCACATCTCACACAGAGTTGTAAACGGGCGGATCCTGACCTGCCCACATCTGGGTAGCCAGAACTGCAGGAAATGCATTTCTGCATTTCGCATTAGTAAGTCACTCCCTGAGGGGCGCTTCCATGGCATCGCAGAGACTAACGCGCTGCCTCTCTCACCTCCCTTTCCAGAGCACATCATTCCCCGCCCCAGGACCTAGGGCCTTCAGTAGCAAGAGTCCTCACTGCTGTCCTACACTGACCAGCCTAAACCTTCCTTACCCTGATCCTCTAGTCAAGTCAGTCTCCTTGAAACTCAGGGTCACGGCGGGTGGTTATAACTTAGACTAACTCTTAATACGCTGATTGGAGTGTAGTAAGAATATTATAAATATCACAAGCGGATGGCCAACTAGGTGAGCTGTTCCATACCCATTTAGAAAATGCTACCAAGTGGCTTGACCGAGGAAGCTGGAGCTCCGCCCACTTTCCTTTCTGCACAGCTCAAACTCACCCAAGTAAGTGCTTCCAGGCCCTTCCTTTGCCAGACTACCTTGAGTACCTGGGGTCCCTCACCACATCTGAAGCTTGCATCAGAATGCAGTGCATGTGAGTACAGATGTGTGTGTGTGTGTGTGTGCACGCACTCACACACGAATGCCCACAAACATGTGTGCGCCCATGCACACACGCAGAGCTCAGGTAAAACAGCACAGACCTACGGTGTCACCAACTGTGTTCAATTCCTGGAAGAGAGTGTTGTAATAATGTGTCTCTTCCTCCGCATTGCAAGCCTCACTTAGCCTAAAAGCTTATCTTCAAGAACTCTCTCAGGTAAAACTCGTGCGAAGATAAGCAGCAATAGACGCTCGGGTCAAAACCTCAGCCCCTGAGCCCGAGTGCGCCCTCTTATCTTTGTGGAGACCCCACTGTTGAGAAGGCTGTTGGCACACTTTTGCTCTGGGCTGGAATCGTAGTCTGCTTGTCTTGGACTGCGAGCCGCGCATGCTCCAGGCAATGCCATATCAGAAATGTGAATACTGGAGGATTACACTCGGCTCAACTCGCTGGGCAAAATCCAAATTGCCAAGCAGCAGCATGCGCAAGCTATTTAATTCATGTCTTTGAGCACGCCATTTCTCATGCTGGCTCAAAAATGAAGTGCTGGCAGGACCAACACCCCAATAAATTACACTGGTATCAACTGACTTGCAAGTAAATTCTCTGCAAGGCTGGATCTGTGGCTCTTACCAGCCACCTCATGAATTGTCCTCCGGGAGGCTGCTTGGTGCCCCTTTTTCCACAGCCTCAGAGGTATGAGGTTGGCTGATGTGTTTGTTCTGGCACTGACTCTCAGCAGCAGCTGGAGGCAGGCTTGAGAAACAGTCCTAAGCACGGCAGTCTTTCTTTCTCCTGCAGTGACTGTGGTACATGAGAGGAGAGACAAGGCAGAGGTACAGAAAGGCTGAAAGCAAGATCAATACTTGGTTTCATGCCCATATATACTCGGGAAGATGGGCACAGCAGAGTTGGTGTTTCAATGAGAAGGGGCGGCTAAGAGGGCCAGAGGTAAGTACAGGCAGAGCAAAGGTTGGCAGAGACCTCTATGTGACACTGTAAGCTTCTTACCCAGCCGAGGGTTCCCCCAATTGTAAGGAAAACTGAAACTGAATATGGCATCTGCACTGCTTTGGACACACACATACACACACACACACCACCCCAAACAAATGCAATTTAAAAAAAATATTTTTAACAAAATTCATCATTTGTAACTCCTTTCAAATAGGGAACGGGTATTTCTATGCTGCTTGGTGACCTCATTTCTTCTTCAACATTCAAATATCACTCTTACTTCATTGGCTCACGCTAACAAAGCCCTGGGCACTGTGGGGCTCCAATGGCACTAATGTGGAAAGTCACAGATAGGCAAGAGCTGCCAGATACTGTCCGTCCACATTTTCCCCTATGGGCCGCAGTTCCATTCCACTGTAACATCCTGGCCATGCTGTCAATCAGCCCATGTGTCCATGTCCCCCAGAACCGGGACCTAAACCTCCCTAGGCAGCATGTGCCCCTGAAATAGAGCACTAATTAGAAAGCGTGTCTTTAGACTGAGCTTCAGTCAATTCTAGAGCTATGTCCTGTAGGACAACCCCAAACCATTGTCTGCCATGACAACCATCGTTAAAGATGACTCACTTTCATCTTTGGCTCTTTTCTGGGGCAGCTATTCCTGCCCTCTTCAGTATTAATGCTTAAGAGGCGAACCCTGGCTCCACCCTAATGAAGCTGAATAGAGCTGGGGTGTAGACCTGGACCAAGACAATAAATTCTAACCTAACCATTTCAGGAGAGTCTTCTTCCTAAATGGACCAACAGCACAGAGGACATCGCAAAGACTACTGTCCCCGTGTTCTGCGGGGCCAAGAGGTACATCCATTTTCTTCATTAACAATCCATTGGAAGGTGGTGGAAAGGCTGTCAGGGCCTCACAACAGCACAGCCTGCCTCTAAAACCATGCAATGGGATATACATCTTCCTAGGCCATTAGAACCAGGCTGCTAAGCTAGGTCCCCAGTCACCCTTGTTGACCATATGACAGATATGATATACTATGTAACAAGGTTGGGAACAAGGTTCTTGCCCTTACCCTCCTTCTAGTGAGCAAGAGACTCGCGGAAAGAAATTCTTCCCTCAGAGCCAAAAGCTGCAGGCTTCATAAGCACACGCCTAGAATAGGCTAACAGGCCATGGGAAGCTGGTGAAGGAACGTGTGAAAGCAAACGTAGAATTTGCCCATCACTGAGATTTCTAGAGCACACTGCCTGACACACTGTTATTATCATCATCGTCATCATCATCATCATCATTACGACATCAGGAGTCTCTCTACAGAGTAAACCTCATCTGTGAGCTAAACACCGTTAAGAACATCTGATCACAGAGCCAGGAAATTGAGGAGCTTTGAGGAAAGGTGGTGAGGAGATGTGAGAATTCCATCAGAACTGAAAAAGGAGAATTAGGTCAGACGTTTGCTCTGTTTTACTTAGCAGACTGTAGCGCCATAATCAGTTTTATATTCTCAGCAGCATATTACCTTTTAGAAATAAGAGAGTGGGTGATGGTGGACATACAGCTGGTGATGTATAGAGGGCCATAGAGATGTCAATGACAAAGTCTAAATGAGATTTTGGTACCCAGGTCCCTGCATCTGCTGATTGATGGACAACAGGACACAGACACTCCTCTGCCTCAGCACTGCTTCTTTTCAGGGAGCCGGAGGTTACTCTTCCCAGCATTATTTCTCTTCCATAGTAAAGAAGCACACATCGGAGGTGGGGGAAGGCGGGTATGAGCTCTGGAGAAAGGGCAGTGGGGTTTCCAGGCCCTCTAACACCTGCATGTAGAGCTGCACATGGGATGCATTCTCATAAAATGTACATTTAAGCGCTATATGGGTTTCCAAGTCCCACTTTCTCAAAAAATAAAATAAAATAAAATACAGATTTAGAGTCCTATTTAGTAATCATGTGGGCTTTGAGAATTGAGCATAAGCAGATTTAAGTTTAGTCTATGCGCACTAAATTTACTGCAGGACCCTGGTAGGACAATTTATGGAAGCAGGGCTTGGATTCTATATGAGCTGTGCTTATCTGTAGAAATACACAGACCTAGCAGGTCCTGTTTCACTGGTGGTTCTTATTGGCTCCCAGGGACCTGAAAGTTTGAATTCCTACAAAAGTTCTGCCTTGTTCTTTCCAGGTACAAAGCACAACTCCTGAGCCGGAGAGCTCTCTTTAGAGTAAGCTTAGGCATTGTTTACTTTGGGGTTCTGTCAAAAGCCCTATCACAGTAAGTTTGAACAGGCTGACTTTCAGTTCTTCGATGAAATAACTGCATGTTTAAATATTATTTCATCCAAAAACCCAAAATCACATATATGGCAGTATTACTATAAACTGGTTTGATTTTTTTTTTTTTTCAGTTTCTGGAGTTACCTTAAAGAATAAAAGGGAAGGGTGGAAGGAGAGGGAGATAAAGAAGGGAGGGAAGAGGGGGGAGAGAGAGAGAGATGGGGAGAGGGGGGAAGGGGAGAGAGGGAGAGAAGAAAAGAGTCAGGGACAGGACAGGAAAGGAAAAGAAAAGAACATGGAGGGTTACTCAATTTGAAATTCACAATTGCTTTCTTTGTTGTCTGTATATATTTGAACTCCTAAACAAACATAACTCACTAATCTAGATTGCACATGGTTGGAAATTCCTCATGTTCTTAGAACTCCCGGGTTCTCGTGGTGATAACTGGATGGAATAAGCCGACCCTCTGGGATACAGATGTCGAGATCACTTTTCCCTCTTTGATCTGACTTCTCTTTGTTCTGTTATCTCAAGTATGACATCAGATAGTTCCCAAAAAAAGGTTTTCCATATACTTTTTCCAGAAAGGATACTCAAAAAAGCTTGAGGAATTAACAATGGTGAAAACCCACGTGGTTCTTACTATGCTGCTAAGAGAGTCCGCTGCTGCTCCGTGTAGGAGGTGTCTTTCTCTTTAAGGTTTTCCTTCTTACAGGGCCTAACAGTGTCCTAACTGTTGTGCCCAGGCTGCTGCTGAGTAAGCTGAGGGTAGGGGTTTTACATACGTAAAGTTGGCCCAATTCAAAACAGTTGTGAGGGGCAATACTTCCCGGAAGTAGTGTAGAAAAAAAAGTGTGTTGTCTGACGGGAGAGAAGATGACCAAGAGGACACATTCTCTGGGAATTTCTTTGTGAAGCAAATGTGATTCATGGAGGGAGACAGGGCCCACATGGGCAGTACAGCCAACGGCCGGGCAGAATTTGAGTCTCAGTCTTTGGAGGGTATTTAGTTTAATCCCTGTGTCTTGGTGTGTATTACAAGTATCACATAAATAAAATCCACTTTCCAGAGACAGAAAGCTATTGCTTAGTTGGTTTTTTTTCATAGTGTTTTTTTTTTTATTCTTTTCCAACTAGCTTTACCATAGCCTTTCTGATAATTAAAAGTTTTCTTTCTGCTTATAAAGCAGATTGGCTTTGTTTAGTAAGCAAAGGGATTTTTTAAAAAAGGAATTCCCACTGTTAGGCAAGATTTTATTTCATGCATTTACTTTCTCAGGGAAAAACACATCCTTCTGTTATTAATCTTCAAGAGTAAAATGCCATATGTAATCAAGATTTTTCCAAATAACATGAGTTAGAGTTTTTCTTTTGCCTCTTGCGAAAGTACAGTTGGCAAAGATGTGCTCCAGAACGGAAGTTGCAGAGAGTGACCTGCAGAGGGCGCTAATATGTGTAACAGGAAAAAAATATTGATAATCCCCTAGGGTCTAATTTTTAAAGGCGGGGGGGGGGGAAGAAAAAGAAAAAGAAAAGAAAGCTAAGATAGCTACTTCCTAAGGGGAGGAAAAAGGCTTTTATTTCATGCATGACTATTTCACCTTGTCTGTTTTTTTAGTCTAACTCTGCCTTCTGCCTTCTTGGGTATACAAAATCAGGGACAGGATGTTTTTCAAGCTCTGAGAAGCAAGCAACCATAGACACCTCATTCACCAATGTGCTGGGCACTGTTTGGCACATAGAGGCTGATCAATTAATGATAACTAAGCAAAGCCAAGGGGATTAAAAGTTGAGATTACATCATAGGGTCAAAGAGCATCTGTTAAAACAGATGTAGGTCTGGTTCTGTGGTAAATAGCTTAATAAGAAAAATCCTCAGAGATTGAAGCAATGAGCAAAATGTATTTTATATATATATATATATATATATATATATATTTACCTGTTTGTAATTTGAGAAACTTATTAGACACTTACATATAATAAGCGCTCATTCACTGAGTGCTTAACAGATCTAGACATTGTTCTAGGTACTTAGAGACTGTAATAAGCCACTATACTCTATATACTATATGCCACTATACTTTTCTAGATTGGCAGGTAGCCATAAAACAGAAACAAAGTAGATTGCAGGACAAAGGTAGGAGGGGGAAGGAAAGGGAGAGAAGCGGGGAAGGGAGGGAGAACACACACTCTAAGATTATCAGTGAAGATCATGACCATTTTTGTCAGTTGGGGTCTTACCTGGCTAGTTACTTCTTACTTGAAAATGCCAGCTCTCTGGATTACCTCACTCAGGATGATCTTTTCTAGTTCCACCCATTTGCTTGCAAAGGTCATGATTTCCTTGTTTCGAATAGCTGAGTATTATTCCGTTGTGTAAATGTGCCACAATACAGAAAGACATGCATGGTATATACTCACTTATATGCAGATATTAGCCATATAATATAGGAAAACCATACTAAAAACTACAGACCTATAGAAGCTAAACAACAAGGGAGGATGCTTAATTCTCATTTAGAGTGGCAAACAGGACAGACTCCAGAAGCAGTGGAAGAGAGGAAACAGGATGGGAGCCTACTATAAAGAGTCCTCTGAAAGGCTGCACCCAACAGGGGATGGACGAAGATGCTGAGACTCACAGCCAAACTTTGGGCAGAGCTCAGGGCGTCTTACAGAAGAGGAGGGGATAGAAGGACAGGGAGTAGACTGGGGCCCCACAAGGAGACCAACAAAGCTAAAAAATCTGAGCCTAGAGGGTCTCTGCAGGACCAACCAAGGACCATGAATGGAGAGAACCTAGAACCTCTGTTCAGATGTAGCCGATTGGCAGCTCAGTCTCCATGTGGGTTCCCAAGTAAGGGGAGCAGGGGCTGCCTCTGTCATGAACTAGGTTGCCTGCTCTTTGATCACTTGTCCCTATTGAAGCGGCCTTACCAGGCCATAGAAAAAGAAGATCCAGGCAGTCCTGATGAGACTTGATAAGCTAGGGGCAGATGAGATGGCACGGGAAGAGAACTCTCCCTTTCAGTAGATGAAGGGAAGAGATCAGGGGGAACAGGGAGGGAGGGTGGGCCTGGGAGAAGTTGAGGGAGGGGGCTTCAAGCAGGATATATAATGAATAAATTGTAAAAAAAAATAAAAATAAAAAAGAAGCAAAGAGAGAGACAGAAAGAAAGAAAGAAAAAGAAAAGAAAGAAAAGAGAAAGAAAGAAAGAGAAAGAAAGAAAGAAAGAAAGAAAGAAAGAAAGAAAGAAAGAAAGAAAGAAAGAAAGAAAGAAAGTCAGAAAGAAAATGCTAGTTCTCCTTGCCTTCCCTAAAGGGAGGGTGGCAAAGTATGGTAATCAGCTGAGTGCTCCTGCTCATGTGGGTGTTTCCGACTGGGATCTCAGGGTCACTGCTGACCCACCTGAATCAGATGAGCTGCGCTTTCTGGACTGCCAAATCGGAGGTCGTGTCCATTGATGGCCAGCACGCGATCGTTCTCCTCCAGCTGGCCGTGTCGGTCGGCAACACCACCGTTCAGCATGTTGAAGATGAACACCCCGGGCTCGTCCACTCTGCGGACCAGTTTGATACCGAGCTGCTCCTCGGGGCTGCTTTTGTGGAGGATGACGTGGAAGCTGTCATCACGAGGTCCATGGGAGTCCTGAGTCTGCCCATTGCTCCTGCTGCAGAACTTCTGCTCCCGCAGCACTGTGAGCCGCAGCACCTGGCAGGGCTGCCGCAGGAGCCGCAGGGCGTAGTTATGAGGGACGTTGCTGATGTCCATTCCGTTGACCTGGGGGTGGGGCCATTTGATAGTGAGTGTACCTGCTCCAAGCCTTCCGGCACGGTCCGGACCAGCATGGGTCTGATCTTTAGCATCACACCAGCCCACAGAGTAACGAAGATATTCTCCCCTAGCTGGCTCCACTATCTCCTTTTCTCCTGTATCCAAGTGGCCTAACTGTCCACAGTAATTTTCTGACCCCTATGACTCCAGCACTTTCTTCCTTCATCCTCCTTCTTACCTTGGCCCATATGTCTACTTGCAGAATCCTGACCTTCATTTCTGTGGCCTGCCAAGTTTTTTATTTTATTTTCTTTTAGTTGATAGGGAAGGAAGGAAGAAAAAAATTTAAAAATGTGAAAGAAAAAGAAAAAGTCACTTTCCATGCCTGGCAGTGAAGGCACACACCTTTAATCCCAGCAGAGGCAGACACAGGAGCATGTCTGTTAGCTCAAGGCCAGCCTGGGCTATGGAGCAAGTCCCAAGACAACCAGGGCTATACAGAGAAACCCTGTCTCAAAAGCAAAACAAGCAGATACTCCTCTATTTTATTCAAATTTGCATTCTTTAAGTCATGGGAAGCACAGGCCTGACCACTTACACGCACCCAAAACCAGTTGATAATATCCAACACCATTTAGAATAAAAGGAGTTGGCATTTTCTTTCTTTCCTTCTTTGTTGTTTTTTTTTTGTTGTTGTTGTTGTTTTGTTTTTGTTTTTGTTTTTTTCAAGATAGGTTTTCCCTGTGTAGCCTTGGCTGCCCTAGACTCAGTTTGTAGACCAGGCTAACCTTGAACTCACAAGATCCACCTGTCTCTGCCTCCTCGTGTGCTGGGATCAAAGGCGTGAGCTACCACACCAGCTATTTGCTTTATGAAACCCTTCAACAAAGTTTTTCCTACTGGGTTACCCATATTTTCACTTCCAGACCGTCTGTGTGTGGGTGTGTGGGCATGAGAGAGAGAGAGAGAGAGAGAGAGAGAGAGGTGTGTGAGAGAATGTATAAATATAAACGTGTTTGTATGCAGAGCATCTGTGCGAATGTGCCTGAGCATGTGTTAGTGTTTCATGTTGTTGTATCTGTGAGTGTGCGTGTGCATATGTGAGTAATTTTGCACGTCAAAGTATGTGAGTGTTCCTGACCAGGTGTGGATGCGTTTGTTATGGTATCTGTGTGAATGTGCCTGAGTGTGTTTTCACATTACATGATCTATGTGAGGGTATCTGAGCGTGTGTGTTCTCTTGCGCGTTAGAGTATGTATGGAAGTGCGCCTGAATGTGTTTGCATGTTACAGTATCTATGGGAATGGGCCTGAGTATGTGTGAGTGTGTTGTATGACACACCACGTGTGAGTGCCCCTGAGTCTGTGTGTTCTATGACACAATTTCTGCGAGTGGGCCTGCGTGTGCGGGTGTGTACGCTGATACAGTGTCTGTGACCGTGTCTGGATGTGCGACAGCGTGTATAGGAATACCAGGTATGGGCATAGATGTCTGCAAGGCCCCTGCCTTTATAGTTATGTTCCAACTAGAGAGGGGTGTGTGGGACTTGAATGATTTCGGACAAACTAGTGCAAAAGCAGATTCTAGGCTGTCTACTGAAAAGCTGATCCCTCTACAGTACTCCTTAAATATCCCGAAGCCAGGCCTCTCATTTGGGCCTCGCTAATAACCTACGGGACTGCTGCTGCCTCTGACATTCTGGCTTTAATTACCCTGGCTCCACAGGCCCAGCCTGGAGGCTTCGGCCCCCAATGTTTGTCACTGCTCTGGAAGAAAACAGTTCCCAGCAGTCCTGTGCTCTGCCTGAGAGGGGGCCCCACAGACGGCTTCTTAAATTTCTAAGGGTTTGCTAAAATTTCTTGTACTTGAAGCCAATCGTTAGAGGCACATTGGAATGAGCTTCGAAAGAGCCATATTTTAGGTCAAGAAGCGCCTCCTGCTGCAGTTCGGAGATGAATGGGGCTCCCTCAGTGAGGGCAAGGAGTGCCCTTGTCGAAATACAAGAGAACGCTACCCAGAAGGTGACACAGTCTGCTGTCCCATTATCCCAGGGCCAACCGAAGTCAGGGTCACCCAGTAAAAGGTTCCTGCGTTCCTTTCCTCTGCAAGTGCCTCCGGCTGAGGGCTAACAAATAGCTTTTTATTTTATTTTAATGCAGCCCTCCCAGGCAGTCATCTCCCTTGGAGCCGGGGGTGGGGGTGGGGGTGGGGGGGTGTTGTCCTTCTGTGAGTTGGGTCCTGATAGTTTTCGGCCCATTAGAGTAATGGACACTGCCTGTGCCACACCCCGGCGTCCAGTGGGAATGTCAACATTTCTGCAGTAACTGCTCTCAATTATTTCTCCTCTCATTCCAATTAGTTTGCCAAACAAACAGCTCATGCTGGGACAGGGGTTGACCCTCTGCGGGCCTGAGAAGGGTGGGATGAGACTGTTATCTGAGTATCAGATAAGAAGCAGATGAATACGAGAGCCCTCCAGGCCCTTTGGCTCACGGTTGACAACTGTCTGACAAACAGTTGTTCCCCCTTCCTTTCTGTCCTGAAAATCCTTCTGGAAAGTCTCTTCTCTCAACCATGCCTAGAGGACAGTATGCCCAAGCCACTCCTGCCTCCCTGCGAATGCCTCTGAGTCATCAGACTAGATTAGAGATGGCCATTAAGTCACAGGAGATTCTCTGTAGAAGGGCCTCTGAACACAATTAGATCAAACACAACAGTTTCCATTAATCTGCTTTACAATTTTAGAAGATACATGCTCCAGTCTTATTTTATCCTAATGTGTTTGTTTTTTTTTTTTTTTTTTTTTTTAAAGGAGAGGACACAGAAGGATCAAGAAGAGAAAGAAAAGAGTAAATGGAGAACGAAAGGGGGGAAGGTGAAAACAAAGTAGATGGGAAAAAGTGAGAGAAGACAGGGAAAATGATACATTGACAGGAAGTTATAAGCAGAGAGATGGGGGAAGACTGAAAGACTCATCTCAGTTATATCAGGGTTCATCATATGAGATTTATGTCAATATAACTGTGGAAAGTGAGTGTCTGCCTTTATTTCATTATATTCACCCCATTAATCATCCACCTAGCCAATATCCACTCATATACCCATCCATTCATCCACTAATTCATTCATCCACCTATTTATCCATCCACTTACTCACCCACTCTTCCACCCATCCACCTACCCACCCATCCATCTGACTATCCGTCCATTTACCTACCTAACCCATCTCTTATCGACTCTGAAGGATTTCCCTTATTCATCTACCCATCTATGTATCCACCCACATTTCTGGCCAATCATCTATCTAGCCTTCCACCTGCTCATCCAACCATTGTTGACTTCTAAGTATGTGCCTCTCATAGCCTACAGCTCATACTTCCGGAGCCTCTGGTGGCAAGACCATGCCTTCTGGGCACCTTGAGAATGATGTCTCCTGGCAGCAGACGTCCGTCCCTGGCAATCACTCCATCACGATAAATATGCTGGATGATGACGTGGACCAGCGGGGTCTCACTGCCTCCCACGAGCCTAATGGAGAGGCTTTCATTGGGATCCGCTCTGTTGATCTTGATGCTTGTAATCTCGCCATCTGGAATCAGGTGATACAGCCTGGGGAAGACTGGAACGGACAAAAACAGTACTGTTTCAGACATCTACTCAATGGGCACTTCCAAGGTCTCTCCTCGCCAAACTAAACTGTTCACCGCTCCTTGTGTGCGTTTCCCACTTGCCTGCCTTGGTGCCAGTGCACATCTCTCTACCGGAATGTGTCTCATCCTGGGCCGAAACCCAATTTTTTCCTTCAAGGCATGCATGAAACAATCCCTTCCAATTAAACTTTATCCCAATCCCTCTTTTCTGTGCTGTCTCTAAACACACAATTCCTGGGAGGCTGACTCTAGTTCTCATGGCATTCAACCTTCCATTATTGCTATCTGCACTGACGTCTCATGTCACCGTGTGGACGCTAGAGTCTATGAACAGGCTGTCCCCGAGGTTAGCTTGGTCGATGGCTTCATATGATGTTTACACTACTTTGATTACTCTGTGGAGGCAGCAATTTCTGGCTGTTCCATGGTTCTGTGCACAGATCTCTCTGCACACAGGAGCCTTCGGCCAGTGCTTACTATTCAAATAACAACGAACTAATGAACAGATGTCTTCAGGGAGTAAACTTGGATTTCATTACTTTCTTATCAAGGAACAAAAATAGATTCTGCTCTTCTGTCCTCTTAGATCATTTTGGAAGATCTCAGAGACTCTGCTTTTCAGCTCCAGGACTCATCAGCCCTCTAGCAAACACTGCTGTCAATAACAGGAAGTCAAGAGACCTGGTTCGTAGTCACAAAGAGGCCAAGGTCACGGTCTTATGGCCACTTTCTGAAGGCTTGTCCCTCATCTACCTGGATCCGTGAACTCAGTGCTGAGAGAGAATCAAAGATCATGAGATCTGGGGTTTTCTAACTTTGATGAGATGACCCAAGAGTCATCTTTCTCCAGGACACCTTTCTTAGCTCCCTCCTCGATCCTCCTTGGCTGTGCCAGATACAGAATAGCTGTCTGGGTCACTATGCAGCTCCATGGTAACAGGCAGTCCTTTATTCATGGTGTATGAGTGTATGTGTGTGTGACATGTGGTTTGTATGTATGTGTGTCTGTTGAAATGCACCTAGAAGGGGCCATGAACTAAAGCAGCCTAAGAGCCAGGTCAGGAACACCAGGAGGTACACCCATGGCCTCATTAGCTCCCCAGGAGCCAGATGCTCACAGCCAGGTCAAAGTCCACAGGGACAGGCACGAGAGACCAAAAACCCAGAAGCACTGACTGGCACTGTTTTCCCACTTCTGTTGGAGAAGAAGGATAGAGGGAACACCAGTTGCTGAGAGCAGGCCATGCCTGGTCTAGGAAGTGGATTCTTTTGTGTAGCTTGAGGCACAGTTAGGCTGCAGAAGGCAGAGACATTTGCATGCGGCAGCTGCCGACAGCTGCCTTAGCCCTAAGAGTTACCTTTAGTCCTGTCACTTGGGAAGATATACTATGAGTCTGATTCTGCATATGCCACTCTTTGTAACTGTTTTCAAATTCTATAAGCATTGATTGTTTCTTTAGGTGAACTCAACTCTATAATAAAATTATGCAGGAAAAAAAAAAAGTTATTTGCAATGACCATACAGCATAATTAGGAGGTAACGTAGTGATTGGAGGGAGCCTGTGATATCGTAAGTGTGGGGCTCAAGCTCCATTCAGACTTAATGTAATGTCAGCAAATGGCTTCCGTGAGGCTCTGTCTCAATCTGCCAGTTCCTGGTGCTAACAGCATGTGGGCGACTGAGTTCAATCAATGTCTAAACTGTTCCGACTGCATTAAGTAGGCGTTACCACAAAGTCTGTCTGGTATCATAAAGGAATTTTTTTGAAAACTCATTTTAAGCAAAGAAAGTTTTGGAAATAGTCATCAAGGCTCCCGATTCTCCCTCTTTCTCTCCCCCTCCCTTTCTCCCTTCTTCCTTTACAACAGACACAAACGCTGTTGTTCTTAAACAACTGGAGGATATCCGATTCCGTGATCTGAAAGGACATGCCCAGCCACACTCTTAAATGATGTCCCTTAGAGCCAGACCAATGAGATCCTTGTGACTTTGAAAGGTTAAAATGATTTTTAAAAATTTTTTAAAATTTTTATTTTTTTGTATTAATTACAGTTTATTCATTTTTTATCCCAGCTACAGGCTCCTCCCTCATTCCCTCCCTATCCAACCCTCCCTCCCTCATCTCCTCCCATGCCCCTCTCCAAGTCCACTGATAAGGGAGGTCTTCCTCCCCTTCCATCTGACCCTAGCCTATCAGGTCTCATCAGGACTGGCTGCAATGTCCTCCTCTGTGGCCTGGCAGGCTGCTCCCCCCTTGGGGGTGGGTGTTATCAAAGAGCCCGCCAATGACTTCATGTAAGGTACTTACTAGGGTACACACTTGGACACTGAGCTGCCATGGGCTACATCTGTGCAGGGGTTCTAGGTTATCTCCATGGTCCTTGGTTGGAGTGTCAGTCTCAGATTCTAAAACTGTCAAAATTGTCCTAGTCTGGACACGAGAGAATCTGATCAAAGTTCTCTTTGACTGAAGATGGTAGGAGTTAAAAATACTCTTCTCTGGGCACCGAGCTAAGGATCTGGGATGCACTTTCAGTCCTCACACTGACCTAAGAAGGTGGCTTCTTATCCCTCTCCAGGTGAAGAGCTAGACTGGCAGTAGAAAGAAGATGGAGGGCGCAGGTTGGCCAGCAGCTGGGAAGCCACTCAGGCATGTGAGGGGAGAGCACAGGGGGCACGTGATGGGAGGGCAGCCCAGGAAGCCTCCTGCGCTGCTCCTGAATTTCCCAAGGGCACAGGCACATAACGTACCCGAGGCTTTAACTTTCAACCCCAAAGAAGTTTGGAAGGTATTAAAAGGGACAAAGGCCTGAATTTGAAATTCTGCCGTGTGTGTGTGTGTGTATGTGTGTGTGTGTGTGTGTGTTGTGATGGTTGGTTAGCTGTGTGACTTTGGGCTACTTACCTAACCTCACTGGATCATAGGAATGACAATCTTTACCTCTTAGCATTCTTTGGACATATGCATGACTCAGAGGGCTGGCCAAGCTGTTTCTAGTTTTAATGTTATTATTTTACTGTACCGTTTAATACGAACCAGATGTGGTGCACACCTGTAAGCCCAATGCTCTTAAGAGGCAAAGGTAGGAAGAGCACTGCAAGTTTGCGGCCAGCCTGATCTACCCAGTAAGTTATAGGCTAGCTAAGACTACAAAGTGAGAGCCTGTCTAAAAAAAAAAAAAAAAAAAAAAAAAGTTAATTTAACCTAAAAGTTTCAATATAAAATGAAAAGAAAGGTAGAAAACAGTGTCTCCTCAGCTCCACTTATATTGGGGAAACATTGCCAGCCTTCATGTAAGATGCTTTTTTTCAAGGGCCTGGAGATGGGTCAGGGGCTCAAGGCACTGGCTGACCTGAATTCCAACCCCAGGACCCTCACTGTGAAAGAAGAAAACCAACCCTCACAAGTTGTCCTTTGACACTCACACGCACTGTGACTCATGAGCACATGGGAGGGGGGGGGCCTGCACACACCATAACTAAATGAATGCAGAACATTAAAACAATAAATCAAAACGAAGGGACTCATTTGCTGTCTGTTTATGTAGAACTCGCAGCAGCTATGGCTTCGTCTTTCTCAACAGAAGACTGTGTCCAGTACCCAGTGTTGAGACTGAAATAAAATAAAGTGGTTTTCACTCTCTAATGATAGTCAGTGGGCATTAGGCGAGCACCTGGAGCCCAGGTTGCATATGCATTTTCCCTCACCTGTGTGAAAAGATGACAAAGAAGACAAGAGTCCCTGTCCTTACTGGGGTGAGGAGGCTAATCAATGTAAACAAATAAACAAGCAAACAAACAAACAAACCATAATCCCATCCTCTTGGGACGAGAAGGGTCACAAAGGGTGGTGGTCAGGCTGTCGCCATCCCTAAAGCAACTTTGGAAAGCAGGCCTGTGGCCAGCCTGGGGGTGGGAGTCAAGATTCCATTTACCTTCAGGGACAGTGGCGTTCTCAGGGCTTCCCCTGCCCTGGTCGGTGTTGCTGGCGACGGCACTCCCACTCTTCATCCTTCGAAGAACGCTCAGGGCTCTGTTGATCTTTTTGAAAGATCGGCTTCTCATCGTGGAGCGCTCAAAGGGCCGTGCTGAGGAAAGAGACGGAGCAGAGACAGGGGTTACAGGCCCACAGCAATCATCCTTTGGCCAAGCCTGCTGCTGTGTGCCTGAAATCCCGGCCCTCGAGAGATTAGACTGGAAACTCAGGAGGTCAAAGCCAGTCCAGGTGCAGAGTGAGACTTTGCCTCAAATAAGCAAAACAACAACAACAACAAAGAACCTTTTATGTATAAAACATTGAAATGGGACAATAGGATATTAAAACAGTGACTGCCTCTTAATGATAAGAGTTTATTTACGGGTATTTGTAATTTTTTTTTTTTTTCAGTGAAATAATGTATCTTACTTACTTAAAATCTATTCCCCTCCCTTGGGTGTGAGTGGATAGAATACCACTTTCCAGAGCAAGCAGAGGAGGTCCCCACACTGCAGGGACCATAAATCACCAGGCCTCGCCTCACCCGCCCCCACCAAGCCAGATTACACAGTAGAAATGATCTGAGGCACTCAGTTTCATTTTACTTTGGAAAACTGGCCAAAACCACCAGCACCATTTCCCTTAAAAAAAAAAAAAAAAATTTCTAGAACTTTCCACCAGTAGTATATTCTACAGAGGGCAATCCCAGGGAAAACCGAGAGTCCATTCCCAGACCTCCACCCACGTGACTCACCCCTCGTTCGGCTGCTCCGGCTAGAGTCTGAGGGGTTGGCTACTGGCTCACCATCCCCCACTGAGGACACGAAGGCAGGGTTGTCTAGGCCAGGCTCATCGGTCATTAAAGAGATGGTGGCGGCTGCAGAAACCTCTGGGGAGGGTGTCCTTGCCGTGAGGCTAGCGCAGCCATCAGGGCAGCCATCTTGCGATCGCCTTTTCCTGTCCTTGGTCAGGCCATAGTGAGAAGCACCTTTACAGCTGGAACAACCCAGAGGGGCAGTTAGAACGGTCAGTCAGGGCTCCCCCCAATACACACGCCTGTCCCTGTACAACCCTCCCCCTCACACATAAGAATTTGATATATGCTTGCCAGCCAAATGCATAATTGGATCGAGAGAGTAGTTTTTTTGTTTTCATTTGTTTGTTTTTAAGAATTGCCTATTATATTCTCCAAGCATAAGCGCCACTGCTGAGCGGTAGAAAATCAGATCTACCTGACTGTGGCTTGAGGGCGGAGGTCTCCAACGTTTGCACTTGGCATTTGCTTCTCATCAGTATTTATTCTGACTATAGAAGTCCTCAATCACATTCTCAGCCCTTTTTTTTTGGGATTGATCCCACAGCATCGGACACAAACACACGAGGTCACTACCAGATCCCATATTTGGCTGACCGTGCAAACAGAACTGCCCTTGCCACAAAGCCACAGGGTTGACTCAGAACTGCTATTCTCTAGGGGTGGGCGTGGCAGCTTCCATTCCTGTTGCTGGGTTGGTCTGGCAGGGCCTCCCACACTCCTCAGAGGAACCACCAGCAGGGGCTCTCACACACTGGAAAACATCACGTCTCACAGCACCGGGAGAGAAACACTTCTTTGACAGTTTTTCTTTTTCTTTCATTAACAACAGAAACCTTTTCTGTCCATTTCCTTGTTTCTATCCATTTTACTCATTCCATTTCACCAAAAAAACAAAACAAAACAAAACAAAACAAACAAACAAACAAACCAACCAAACTTTGTAGAGTGGCCCAGTCATTGGTACAATAGGAAAAGGGAAAGATGTCCAGGGTTCAAAGGACCAGCACTTGCGACAATCTAGAGCCTTCTTTTTTCAAGAACTCATTTTTTGACCACTGGGCCAGTCATTTCAGTTCACTGGCAACGATTCTGGTCAGTAACTGATGATGATTTAATTGGCGCATTGCACGGCCGGAGAGGGCATCCAAGGACACAGCCGCTCCGTGTCCAACAGAAATCCTTCTGAAGAACTCCTGTGTTGGGCAAATGGCCTAACAGGTGAGTTGACTGGTGTGCACCAGTGCATAAATATCTGCAACCTCACGTGAGTGATGCTTTGTGACCCTGAAAGGAGACGGGGGCTGCTGTGACCCTGCAAGCAACAGGCTTCAGGCTGACTGTAGACGCTCAGACCTGCCTGGAGGGAGCCTAGAGGTTTGCCCTGAATGTACCTACCTAGCTGTGTGATCTGAAGCAATTAGACGGCATGGTTAAAATTTCTGCCCTGGGGGCTGGAGAGAAGACTCAAGAGCCTAAGAGTTCTGGCTCTTTGTATAGAGGACTTGAGTTTCCTTTCCAGCACCCACGTTGGGTGGATCACAACTATCTACCACTCCAACTCCAGGAGATTCAGCACTCTCTTCTGGCCTCTGTGGTCACTTGCACACATGTGGCAATCTCTCTCCCACACAACCAACCAACCAACCAACCAACCAAACCAGCCAACCAACCAGTAAATATACACACTCACTGTAAACAATTCATACACCTCAGGAATAAATATAATAAATAACTAAAATAACTAAAAATTATCCATCCTCTAAAAATTTTCGTTCTACATATAGTTCTTGGCATAAAATTTGGTTGACATGACGTTCTGCCAGGAGCGTCGGTCCTTGCTAGATATATAGTCAGTTCTCAGGAAACGGAAGCCATCCCTTGACTTCTCCCATTCTGAGATACTCATTCCTCTTACTTTCCCATCTCTGGGATCAAGATGTCCCGGGGACACTGAGCAGTGTCTGCTGCTGAACAGCAGTTGTGAAGGTGCCAGCACCTGAGCACGGCTGACACCGTTACAGTATTGCCACATCCCTCCCGAGGCGCTAGGCTCATGCTTCTCTTTACATCACTGAGTTTAGTTGCCATGCAAATGCCTTCCGATAGAATCTATCCCGGACATATAGTTCTACCCAGAGATCCCATCCTTCTGCTTTCATCAGAGAAGCACTCTCTTACAGTACATGGTAATTAGAACAGAGGCCCATAACTGGACATATGCAGAGAGTGAGAGGCTTTGGAGCACTCAGTCCTACGTGGGATGTCTTCATCAAACCCTTCCCCTCAAGACTCAGGGCTCTTAAGAGCCGGAGGGAGCAGGCCCTTCAAGGAAACAGTGTCTTCCAGACACAACAGGGCTCACAGTTATAAACTCGGGAGCTAAGATAACACACAGATCTTCACAGGCTCAAACCAGATGGAATCCCAGCACTAGAAAGGGGAAGCGGACACAAAGTCCCACTTCTAATTCAGAAGTGATTTGCCATTGGTACCTGCTGGAAAAGAGCCACTAGGTGTATCAATTACACACCCAGGCAGGCCCCAGGCTCAAGAGTAGTTGGCTATCACAGAAAAGACCCCATGTTTTTGTGAACTTTTGGGTTATTTTGTTTTTCTTTTCTTTTTTTTAATGAATTTATTTTTTATTAATTTTATTTTGGTTTTTATTTTTGTCTTATTGGGTTTTTTTGTTGCTGTTGTTGTTGTTTTGATTTTTTCTTTCCTTTTACTTTTCCTGTGTGTGAGAGAGAAAGAACACAAAATTTTATGGAGAAAAGTGAGGAAATCCTAAAAAGAGTTAGGGAAAGGGAAAGAATGTGATCAAAATATATTTATGAACAGCCTTTATGCTTCAGTACTAGAATAAAAAGTTACTGAATATACCAAAATCTAAAAAGAACCCCAAAGCAAAACAAAAACAACAACAAACAAAAAACAGAGCAGAGGGGTGCAAACTTTGTTTTAATGAAGCTGACAGTCATGCTTAGAAGAATGTCTACAAAGTTGTCATTTTCCTACAAGGAAAAAGCAATGCTTCATTTGCTTACTTGGTTTACTTTTGTGTATTTATTTTATGTGTGAGTGCTTTGCTTACATGTATATATCTATATATACGAACTATGTGCATGCCTGGTGCTAGCAGAGGCCACAAGAGGGCATCAGATCCCCCATAAGTGGAGTTACAGACAATTCTGCACTTCCGTGTGAGTGCTGAGAGCTGAGCCCAGGTCCACTGGGAGAGCAGCCCAGGTGCTCTGAACTGCTGACCTTAATCTCTGGCCCCCAAATGCTCCAAGGGTTGGAGAGATGGCTCAGTGGTTAAGAGAACACACTACTCTTGCTGAGGACCCTCGCTCAGCTCCAGCACCCATGTCCTGCTGTAACTCAAGCTCCACAGGGATCTGACTCTTGGCCTTCGTGAGTTCTCCACTTGTACGGATGTGTACCCCCCCACACACATGCAGACACCCCCCACACATACAGGGACACAATTGAGAAATATAATAAATACTTAAGAAAATATTGTCCCTCATTAGAAAGACACTCTCCCAAAGAGATGAAAAGCAGTATTACTTTTATTTATTTATTTTTTTTCATAGAAAAGGATCACCTATATCACACCAGGCAAAGCAACCCAGGCTAGGGGGAGTTGCTCAGTTCACCTAAGTGCATTGTAAAGCCAACAGAGTCTGGTGTGAGCCATGTTTAATGGTGTCTGGAGTAGTTTAACTGGAAGCACATTCTCTTTTTTTGTCAGCAAATACAATACAGTACTTTCAGTAATCAGTGGCATCCTAACTGTGATGAAATGTGGTGTTACTTTTAGAAGGAAGGTCTGCAATTACAAACTTTACACCCTCATTTTCTAGAAGATGGACAGCGGAGGACAAGCCAAAGCTTATACTTTTGAGCTGCCCCAACACCTCCCCTGGGAACCTGGGAAGCCTTACCACCCCTTTGGAATTTATTATTTTTTTATCATCCTCATTAGTTACTTTGGCTTGGAATTATTCTGGCTACAGAAGAGTGAAGGGGTTGAGATGGGGAATTTGAAAATTGGAAGAAATGCTGTGTGATGGAAAAAATCAGAGCCAGCAGGCGTTGGAGAGCGCCAAAGCTGTAATTCGAGAATGGAACACTTCTCCGTGGGCCAGAGTGCAGGGAAAGGTAGTTCACGGCATGTGAGTGGATTTGGAGACAGCCTCTCTTTGCAGGCAGCGGTGCTCTTGACCATGTTCTCAACCAGAGCTGGAAATGCATTTCCCTAGAATACAGGTGACTGGAATGGTGCACAGTCTGGCTTTCTTTGGAAGATATAGCCTGTCCCAGTGAGAAAGTTGAATCTCATTCAGGTGCCTCAGAGCACGGAAGAGAGTAAGTTCCAGGACCATAACCATTATGACACAACATTTCTGCCTCAGATTCTTGAGCCTCTTAAAGATATATTTTTGAGTCCAGGAAAGGAAAACAGCATAAAAATTAATGACTAGTCTTCTCTTTATCACTCAGTTCCTAGCTGTAGTTATAATAGCTGGGGAGGATGCAGCATCTAAATGGAAACATTCAGACTCATAAGCTTTAAAAAAAAAATCAGGATAACGTCTCATCCTTCTGTAATGTCAGCTCTCTCCATCTTCTTGGCTTAGCCTGAATCTGAGGCACAGAGTAATGTATGAAAGCAGTGGCTTGTACTTACTAATTATCGCTTGTGCTGTGACTAATACTGGAGGCTCCTGATTTACAGGCACGAGAAAAGGAGAGGGGAAAGAGCTGATTAATGTTGGCCAGGACAGAAAGATAGGAGGCACCCGGGGCTTTGTTCAAAGCAAGCAGGATTTATGCTCTCTTCAGCTACCCTGAGCCTAAGTACTCTCAGGTGGTGATGGCCATGAACTTGAAGGATGAGCATAAGGAACACAGAAAACCAAAAAAAAAAAAAATTTTTTTTCAACTCAAACCACAAACTTTGGATATGCTGTCTGCTCAAACAAGCATCCTGAAATCATTTTTCTTGATGCTGATGAAGTCGGGTCCTGGGTTCCTACACTGAAGCCAGCAGCGAGCGAAAGATCAGGCAGCTTCTGAGGGCGCCAGCACCAGCAGGCTTTGCAGTTTTTTAGAGAGGAGGGGGATTGAGTGTGCGAAGAGAAAATGAAATTTTCTTCCTACAAGATTCCAGAGTCTGTGGTGTGAGTTGCTAAGCCTCCGGGTGGTACTAGCTCATCTTCAAGGGAGGGACTCCCTGCTGTCTGTGAACTGACCTACTTATCATAGCGTGCAAGGTCACCACGAGAAAGCAAGCCTCCATTCTCTTATCGTCATCAGAACAACGGTGAAAGCCTTCTTTGAGCTAATCTCCGCACTAACCTCTCCCTCAGTTCACTTCTGATACAAACTCACAACTTTGGACTCGGCAACTCACTTGGAATTCATTAACTGCCCAGTCTGTTCTCACTTTAATCCTGGGATTGAACTCACAGCTTAGGGAAGCAAGGAAGACAGGTTGTGAGGGGGGGGAAGCCAGGCAGGAAGATGGCAAACAATCTTGATTGTAGCATAGATTCAGTTGCCATTAAAGCTTTACAGAAGGGCTAGCCCTGTGTTGTCAGAAGCAGGCAATCTGGATACTAAAACCCATACTTCACTGCGAAATCTTTTGGTTTTTTTTTTAAATGTTGGCAACACATCATGCCTAAAAACCGTGTGTGGTCCAAGCAAAACACAAACACACATGTAGCACACATCTATCTCAGAGAAAAGCACATTCCACCTCTGCTAATAAGGAAAACTGCTAATGCAACAAACGGTTAGGGCCTGTTTCCCTCTTTTCAGCTCTCTAAGAAGAAACATAAAGCCAGATGGTCATGTTGCACCCACCTTTAATTGCAGCACTTGGGAGGCAGAGGTAGACAGACCAATCTCTGAGTTTGAGGCTAGCTGGTCAACAAAGCAAGTTCTAGAATAGCCAGGGTTACACAAAGAAGCCCTGTCTCAAAGAAGAGGAAGAGGAAGAGGAAGAAGGAGAAGAAGGAGGAGGAGGGGGAGGAGGAGGAGGAGGAGGAGGAGGAGGAGGAGGAGGAGAAGGAAAAATACGACCCTTCATGCATTCTGCTTTCTGCTACTTATATAAGGTACATGTACATGGAAAGGCAAGATGGGTGTTGAAGAGGGCTTCCTTTTCAGCCACCTGTCCCAGCCACTTTTCTGATTGAGTTGGAGGTTAAGAGTGGATTCTCAGTTGTCCTTCTTTCAAAAGAACCAATAGGTTGCCTGAACTTGGAATTTCACAGGAAAGGAAACATCCAGTTATCAGATATAACTATTATTTCTTCATGCAAAGGGAGTCAATGGTGGAGGACTCTGGAGAGAAGCCACCTTCCTGCCACCAGCTGGGTCTGAGGCTTTGGATGCCCCATCACCTCCCCATCACAGGATGAGTGACCTGTGCCACAGGTGGAGAAGGCCAAGGGATCAGCTAGGAGGCTCTGCTGTGGTAAGGGAGATGGCTCCAGAACAGAGCGGTGGCTGTCCCTTGTGGAGGCCGCTAGGAAATGAGCTGTGGGGAGTCCCACAGGACTATCTGTCAGGCTGCTGACAACCCTCAAGGATGAAGAACTGCTCTTGTGTGTTCAGCCCTAACCCCTCTGGGGCTTCCATCCTGGCCCTGGTCCTCCTCACGTCACACACCCACGGTTTTGTGCGTGGCCCCAGCTGACTTTCCTTCCTCTGCTCTACAGTCTCTCACCCTCTAAATCCACCTCAACCACATGGAAAATTTTTATTCAGAAACATGTTGGGAACATGTTCTCTTTTGCTATTGGGATGGAGTCAGAGCTCTTACTGATATCCAAGGACTTCCATACTACCCTCATGGAATCTAGTGGAGTTGGGTTACTCAAAAGGGAGATGACAGACACCCACCAGTGTCTTCCTACGGACTAGGTGCTGTTTTATGAATGTGGCCTCCTTTAACCCTCCCAACTACTCTGAGACATTAGTTCTCATATATCACCTCTTCGGCAAAGAGAAGGATGGTAGAAGGGAGAAAAAAGCTT